CCTCCCGGAGCCCCGCCCTCCCGGGAACACCGTCCTCCCGGAGCCCCGCCCTCCCGAAACCCCGTCCTCCCGGAGCCCCGCCCTCCCGGGAACCCCGTCCTCCCGGAGCCCCGTCCTCCCGGAACCCCGTCCTCCCGGAGCCCCGCCCTCCCGGGAACGCCGTCCTCCCGGAGCCCCCTGCCCCTCCCCCATCCCGCACCCCTGGGAGGGACTCAGGTCGCCTGAAGCACAAGCGCCAGCCGGGGCAGCCCAGAGCTCGGCGAAGCGGGACGCCGGCAGTGCCGCGGGAACGACCGGACGCCCAGCTCCCGAGGGCCGAGGGCACGGCGACGGGCACCGCTCCGGCCTCCCGGCTTTGCGGAGGGGCGGCCCCGGGACGCCTGAGGGGGACGCCTGAGCCCCGCGAGGCCGTGAGCGCGCAGCGCAGCTCCGGCCCGGAACCACGGTCCACCGTCACCGCGCTGGCGCTGGGAACGGCGGCGGTGACGGACCGGGGGCCGGAAGTGAAGGACCGGGGAGGACGGCTGCTTCCGGCGCGGTGGCTGCCGCCGTCTCCTCCGCGCCATGGCTGCGTTCAGCCGTCAGGTGAGGTTGCGCTGGGTGCGGGGGCTTCTCGGGGTCGCCGGCGGGCGGGCGGGCAGCGACGCAGAAGAACCGCGGCCGCTGGGTGCTTCGTGGAGCCCTTCCGGGGGTCCGTGCACGCTGGCCTGGCTCTGGCATCCTGGACCCGTGGCTCAGCTCGGTTATTGCGGGGTATAAAGTAAAGTTGGTTTTTTTTGGAGACAGTCTCGCTGTGTTGCCAGGCGCCAGGCTGGAGTGCAGTGCGCGATCTCGGCCCGCGGCAGCCTCCGTCTCCTGGGTTCAGGCGATTCTCCTGCTTCAGCCTCCCGGGTAACTGGGATTACAGGCGCCGCCGCCATGCCCGGCTAATTTTTGTGTTTTTAAGAGAGACGGGGTTTCACCATGTTGGCCAGGCCGGTCCCCAACTCCTGACCTCATGTGATCTGTCCGCCTCGGCCTCCCAAACTGCTGGGATTACAGGCGCGAGCCGCCGCGCCCGGCCTGAGTTGACTCTTGAACAAGAGTCTGATTTTCACAAGGAAGAGAACATGTATTTACTGTTCATTAGGAGGAAGCGGAATCCGCATAAAGATCTTTAGGCTTGAGCACAACGACTGCCCGGTGTTCCTGGCGGAGGGAGCAGCCGAACAGGGAGGCTGGAGAGCAGCCAGGGCTTGGGCTTGGCAGGCTGGCCCCGGGGCCAGTCGATGACGCTGGATAAGGGGTTGCGACCCCTGTGACGGGTTAGAGCAGGGCTTCCCAACCGCCGGTACCGGTCCGTGGCCTATTAGGAGCCAGGCTGCGCAGCAGGAGGTGAGCGGTGGGTGAGCCGGCCAACTTCCTCTGTGTTTGCAGCCGCTCCCCGCTCTGGCCAGGCCGCCTGAGCTCCGCCTCCTGTCAGACGTTAGATTCTCACTGGGGCGCAAACCCTACTGTGAACTGAGCCTTGGAGGGATCTAGGTTGCGCGCTCCTTGTGAGAATCTGATGCCCGATGATCTGTCACCCATCACCCACAGATGGGACCTTCTAGTTGCAGGAAAACAAGCTCAGGGCTCCCAGTGATTCTACATTATGGTGAGTTGTGTAATTATTTCAGTATATATTAGAATGTGAAAATAATAGAAATAAAGTACACGACAAATGTAATGTGCTTAAATTATCCCGAAACCCCTCACCAGTCTGTGGAAAATTGTCTTCAATGAAACCAGTCCCTGGTGCCAAAAAGTTTGAAGACTGCTGGCTTAGATGATTTGTGCATAGTTTCTTAAGCACCAGCCTGAACCACTGAAGATTTCTGAGGTCAACTGGAATTGTGTATGCAAGTCGACTAAATTACTGTGACCCTTCAACAACACAGGGGTTGGGGAACCAGACCGCCCCACACCAGTTGAAAATCCATGTATAACGCTGACTCCCCTAAAACTCAACTACTTATAGCCTACTTGTGACTGGAAGTCTTACCGACAAGATAAATAGTCAGTTAACACATATCTTGTATATATTGCATTCTGTAAGTTACAGAAAAGAAAATGTCATTAAGAAAATCATAAGGGCAAAACCCCATCTCTACAAAAAATACAAAAATCAGCAGGGTGTAGTGCTGTGTGCCTGTAGTCCCAGCTACTCAGCCTGGGGAGGTCAAGGCTGCAGTGAGCCATGACTGCACCACTGCACTCCAGCCTGGGCAACAGAGTAAGATGCCCCCCAACTCAAAAAGCAAAAGAAAAAGAACATCCTAAGAGAAAGTGCATTTATTATTCATTAAGAAGAAGCAGATCCTCATAAGGTCTTTAGACTGAAGAGGAGGTGGAGGAGAGGCTGGTCTTGGTGTCTCAAGGGTGGTAGAGGTGTAAGGAAATCCACATATAAGTGGATTCAAGCAGTTGAAACCCTTGCTTCAGCCTCCCGAGTAACTGGATTAAGGGCCAACTCTGTATCCCACAAGATTTTTGGAATGAATATAAGAATGTGAATCTGGAAAGTAGTCTGAGGTGAGACTTTTCTGGCAAACATGACCAGGTGGCCTAGAAATACTTTTTCTCTCTTCCTCCATGTCTCTACTCCCGTCCTTAGAGCTGCAAAAGCTAGCAATATTGTATCTGCTTGGATCCCATCTCTGTGCCCTTGAAATACCCTGTTCTCTACATGTGAGCTTCCTTCTCTGTAGGCTTAAGTTCAGATATGATTTTGCAGATTGCTCATAAAAACTGTTATGTTTGTGTGGAATCAAGGCAGTAAATACCCTGGCTCAAAAATCTTGTGGTGTCCATTGCACTGGAATAGTGAGGAATTAATTGTCTTTCGGTGCTGTGTCTTACAGGTCCTTGACTGGCACCGCCTGATCCCCCTCACCTGGGCCTGTATCGCTAGGCAGATTCCTCATCTTGGAGAACAGAGAAGGACAACAGCTTCCATGTTGCGCAAACTGACCACAGCCTCCAGTGGAGGGTTCACTGAGGAGTCATCCTGTATTAGATCCAGTGACTCTGTGCAGGAGCCAGAATGCAGGAGGAATCTTGTTCAGTGCCTCCCTGAGGAGCAGAGGACTCCTGTGGAACAAGGGTCCTTGGTGCTGGAGAGAGTCGTCAGTTCCCTCCAGGACATGGGTTTCAGCAATGCCCATATTAATGAATTGCTCCGTGTACAGCCAGGTGCCAGTCCTCAACAGTTGCTGGACATCATTTCAGAATTTATTCTCTTGGGTCTGAATCCAGAGCCTGTGTGTGTGGCCGTGAAGAAAAGTCCCCAGTTATTGAAACTGCCTATTAAGCAAATGAGGAGGCGCTCCAGTTACCTGCGAAAGCTTGGGCTTGGAGAAGGTACAAGGAGATGCAGATTTTGGCCGGGTGCAGCGGATCACGCCTGTGATTCCACATCTTTGGGAGGCCGAGGCAGGCAGATCACTTAGGTCAGGGGTTCAAGATCAGCCTGGCCAACATGGTGAAACCCTGTCTCTACAAAAATTAGCTGGGTGTGGTGGCACGTGCTTGTAATTCCAGCTACTTGGGAGGCCGAGGCAGGAGAATCACTTGGACCCAGGAGGTGGAGGTTGCAGTGAGCTGAGATGGTGCCCCTGCACTCCAGCCTGGCGACAGAGAGACTGTCTCCAAAAAAAAAAAAGCAGATTTTATACAGTGTGACAGAAGCCAGAGCCGGGGAGAGAAGAGCCTAAGGCGAGATGGATTAGGGGATTTCTGAGGTGTCCGTGTTCCTGGAGAGGAATGTGGAAATTGGCTTGGAGGAATAGGAGTGGCCTTCTGTGCAGAACGCATTTCGAGAGGGAAGGAGGAAGAGTTAAGGCTAGAAAAAATGGAGTGCCGGGACAGAGACTCGTGTCTGCCTTTTTCACTGTGGGCTCTTTAGCACCCAGTGCAGTGATGAGCATGTGGTATATGCCCAGTGGATTGATGCTGAGATGTGATACTGGTAAATGTGTGTACACAGAACATTTGATGTTTAAATCAACATGAAATGGTCTTAGTGCTTTGTCTCTGTGATGTCAAGCCAACATCTCTTGTAAAAACTTAACTTCCAGCCGAGTGTTTCCATTTACTGTGGAATCCGAGAGATCTTGCCAGGTTCCTGGGAAACTGGTGGAGTGGCCTTCCCTTCTATGCATCCCCCACTCCTGCGCCAGCATATTCACATCTCAGGGATGCCTAGAGTTCCCTGAATCTCTTTAGAGGCCTGCTGGAGGAGCTGGGGGCTCATGAGGGTCTCAAGGACCCTTACCCACTTTGACCAGAGGAGTTCCACTATTCTTTGTTTTCATTTTTGACTCTTCCTGGTAAGGTTTCTTTTGAGGCAGGGGTGGAAGGTGTAGGACCCACCATTTCACAGCATCTCTACAGGACTCCTCTAGAAGATAAGGAAAAGGTAGCCTTGTATATTTTTCTTAACAGATTATCTCTTACCGTATAATCTAAAAGCCTAAACTTGATGCATTATGTGCAGTGATTATTAATTAGCAAACTCAGCACAGCCTGAAGAGATGAAGATAAAACCTAAACTGAAATTCCTCACACATTAAGATAATCACTAACTCAAATGTTAGGAAACTTTTAATTAGCAGTTTAGTTGACTTTAAGTTTTCAAGTACTGAATTTTGCTCAGCTGTCCCTAGGAGGGCCTGGAATAGTCCCAGTTTACACCAGTTAATGCAGTTTTAATAGGGCCTGACTCACCCAAAGTGCCCTGGCTTGGATAAGATACATAGTGACCCTGGTAACCAGGATGTCAGTGTTGGTGTGTGTTCTCAGGATTACTGTTATTATTATTGTTACCATGACGGTGATGGAACTCCTTTTCATTGAGTTCAGCTTGAGAATGTTAGTTGTGAATGCTTCGATGACTATTTTATTATAGAGGGAAACATCAACCCAAAGCCCCAAAATGGAGGAAACTACTCTCCCATATTACTCTCTGATCTTTCCAGTAAATGCCTGGGAAATTCTTTTCCAAGTGAGGAGGGCAAGAGGAGACCCAAAATACAAAGTTGGCACCTTTCAGGTGGAGGCCAGAATACAGCAGGAATATGCAGGGGGAGGGCTGGTGAGTCTGAGGAGTGTCCTGGAGTCAGTGGGGAGACGTCTCATTTCCATGGTGCTTCTGGGAAAACATGCCTGAAATTGCCACTTGGTCTGTGGAAGGAGAGGATCCTTGTTTGTTTTTAAATGTGGACTTAAATCTGGTGCAGCTAGCTCCTTGGTTTCTGGAGTATCTTGAAATGATGTGCTTGCCTTTTTTGAATGTTCTGCAGGGAAATTAAAGAGGGTGCTTTCCTGTTGCCCTGAAATTTTTACCATGCCTCAGCGGGACATTGATGGCACTGTCAGGCTTCTTAAGGAGAAGTGCCTTTTCACGGTACAGCAAGTCACCAGGATTTTGCACAGCTGCCCCTTTGTTCTTCGAGAGGACCTGGGCCAATTGGAATATAAGTTTCAGGTGAGAATGACTGACAGGGCGATTAGGGTGGTAATAGCAAGTTTTTCAAATGCAGTAAGGGTCAGTTATATGGATAAGAAGCCTGAAAGCCCTCATATTTGAGTGGCGGAAGTGAAAGACTAGATTGCCTTTGCATACATCAGCCAGAGAATTCGGTTCTGGTTCTTTAAGTTCTTTACTATAGATCAAACCTATTCTTCAACTTTTCCGCCATTAATAATGAATGATCCAGTCCTATTCTTAGGGTCTAAGTGGGGATTCTGAAATAGCTAATTTTAAAATAGCTGAAGCCTTCCTGTCCTCAGAATGTTTTGCATGTTGATTTTGAAAATGTGATTTTAACAGTTGTCCTGATTTTTTAGTAATAATTGTGGCAACTTAGGTCAAATTTCTAGATGTTTTCTGAATGTTTTACCTACCCTTTCCATATTCATAGTTTCCCTCCCTGTTTAAGGAGAAATAGAACTTCTCCCTCCTGCCTCTTTATTTTCTGCTACATGTTTCTCAATGTGAATTTGAAAGTTTTGAAGCTGCCAGGTGCCACACAAACGCTGGCATTCTAGAATGGGCGTTCCACTGTTGTCAATCAGGCAATTCTTTCTGAATCCTTTTGTACAAGCTAAGTTTATATGGTTTATAGAATGACAGGTTTTAAGACTCTATGTGGTATTCCTAAGTGTGCTTGTGTCTTCCAGTATGCATATTTCAGGATGGGAATTACGCATCCAGACATTGTAAAGAGTGAGTACTTGCAGTATCCACTAACCAAGATTAAGCAGAGACACATTTACTTGGAGCGCCTGGGACGGTACCAAACCCCTGATAAGAAGGGGCAGACACAGATCCTTAACCCATTGGTCAAGAACATTCTCAGAGTTTCAGAAGCCGAGTTTTTGGCCAGGACAGCCTGTACTTCTGTCGAGGAATTTGAGGTTTTTAAGAAGCTCCTGGCTCGGGAAGAGCAGGAGTCTGAGAGCGGCATATCTGATGGCAAAAGGGCAAGTCTGGAGGAGGATGAGGAGGACGAGGAGGAGGAGGAAGACGAGGAGGAGGACGAGGAGGAGGAGGAGGAGGAGGAGGAGGAAGACGAGGAGGAGGACGACGAGGAGGAGGAGGAGGAGGATGACGATGATGAAGATGATGAGGAGGAACAGCTGTGATGGGAGGACCAAAGCAAAGGGTCAGAGATACCAAGGAAGCTTTCCATTCACTTAGCGCTTTTGGGTCCTTTACGTGAATCTTCTCAAGTTATTTTTTATTCTAAAACTAGTCTTTTGATGAAAAAAATTATCAATCACCTGAGAGGTAGATCAAACCAAACAGAAAACAGGAAATGCAAGTTTGATCTGTCGTCAGGTGTCTGTGGGGAGGGCCCTGTCCCATCCTAAATAACATACATACTGTGAGCTATTCAAATCAAGGGGACTCAATACATCATTTTGTTTTATTTTTTTTCTCTTTTTGAATATGTTGGTAATAATTCCATGACAGTTGCAAGATGGGGTTCCTTCTGGTTCAGGAATCACTTTGTATTTCCTTCTAGTGATAAAAATAAAATTATGAGAAGGCAGTGTGGGGTTTTAGTACATCACAGCACTTTATTTTATGAAAACATGTAGCAGGTTTTCCACAAAAATATTTGTTTTTAATCCAAAAGTATATCATTTCATAATGGCATTCAGTGTGCAGCAGTGATTCGTGATGTGCTGGTTAATTTGCACAGCGTCTCAAGACCAGCAAAATATTGCGGCAGTTTTATCTTTGTGAATGACAGCCCTTCCTATTTGGGGAAGTTGGCTTTTATGCCAGCTCTTGGCCAGTGGTCGGTCACCTCCAGGCCTGGTGTCTCCGGCCCTGTGGTCTGCAGCACCTCTGTGCTGGCCTGGAGAGTGCTGAGGCGGGTGGAGGCTGGGGAATGGTCCCGGACAGTCGCCTCCCCTGCCGGGTTACAGATGGGCTTTGAGAACCACAGAAAGGGATAGGGTCATGGGGCAGGTGGGCTGGAGCCAGGGCCACAGGGGGTGCCCCAGGACCTCCAAGGTGGGGGTGTCACCTTAGGGCACTGAGAACAAAGAACAATCTGAAATGCTGGGAACAGAGAAGAGGAATTTGATCTAAGCCAGGGGTGCTCCCTGAGGTAGAGGCCTGTCTCTGATGGCATGAGTTTTAAGAGGATCCTGGAGGACCGGTACATCCTAGAACATTCCAGTTAGCCCTTAGGGGAAACTGATAGGATTGTTGCAGAAAGCATTTTTGGTGATGGGAGCAAAATTCCAGTCTCCTTGGTAGCATTCTAGGAGCGACTAGATTCTAGGATCTGTTAGATTCTAGGATTCCTGTGGGTGGAAGCCGGGGATGCTGTAAAACACCCTACAGTGCTCAGGATGGCCCCCACAAGAGAATGAACCAGCCCAAAAGGGCAGTGCTGAGCCTGAGAAACTGATCTAAGGCCTGGTCTAATACAGTAATGTGACGGTTCACTCGTGACAACTTCAGATTGTAAATGGATTTAGAATAGTTGCATTATTTTATTTAAAAGAGAAATAAATAGCTGGGTTTTCATCAGGGCTCCTTTTCCCTATGCACTGGAATCCCCTTGGTAGATGTGAGCTGCATGCTGTTGTGGGGATTCAGCACTGAAGTCTGGGTGCTTTTGTCTTCTCCAGCAGCCTCCTCTTGGAGTATGACTGCAAAGAAAAAGCCTTTTGTTTTGCAAAAGAGAAGCAGCTCAGTGACTCCCTCCACATCGCCACAGCTTGAGTCAGATGCAGTGGAAGGCGTTCCTGCTGAGGGGAGGAGCAGGTGAGCTGGCACTTGACTGGAGCCCTTGCCTGCTGGGTTCTCCACTGGAGGACAGTGGGCACAGCAAAGATCCCCTTACCTGTACCTGGTAGCTCACATGCCGTGGGGAAAGGGGGAGTTTGTCTTGCCTTGCTGGCCATAGGCAGAACTGGAAATGAAGACATTTCACTGTGCCAGTGTTTCCATTTTCTCCTCGGTTGTGGCATCCCAGTCACTGCCACTTGTCCTGGAGCCTAGGCTGTTGTTCTTGTGCCCAACGGGAGGGTTAAGTAGAATCCTCAATCTGTACTCAGTTAAATGATCAGTACATCCCAGTTTCATTAGCAAATGGGTAATTCAGCAACTCATGACTGCTGCTTTCATTCTGATACAGAAATAAATCTTTATGCTCCTGACAACTTTCTGACTCTACTATTACTAATTTCCTTGGGTGGACTTTGAGTATTTTCAAGGAAGCTGTTAAGAGTTTTTAAAAGGAGCCATGTGAGAAACGCTGTGGTGGTCTCTTTGGAATGTTTCAAGAATCAACTGTCGTTCCTGAGCACCAGGAAGTCTTTTTACTAGATATTTAATGTGTAAAACATGCCCATGGGCGAGTCCTGTGACAGCACAGCACCAAGCCTTGGGACTCAGGAGCCAGTTCTCGTTGACACAATGCCTTCCAAGCTGACACTTGGAGCATGTTAGCATTTGCTGTGTGGCTGAGGGGCTTGAGGTCCTAGTAGGGAGTAGAAAGATTCACCTACTTTTCCAGTGATATCACTCGATCTTAGCATCTGCTAGGAATGCTGGAGCTTACATGGATGAACAGTGATGGGTCCCAGGGCTGCAGGAAGTCAGCAGTATGTGTTTGTGTACGTGGTTTTCTCTCAGTTCACCCAGTGACCCTTCGCTGCGCTGGAGACCCTGCATTGAGCTCTGCCTTCTGTTCTCAAGTGGGTCTGGAGACTGGGGAACATTTTGGGAGTACAGGTGAAACGTCTCAAATTGCCTGTTCCTTCTTTCTGAAAATGACAGACTGCAGAATACACAGACAGATGCACATGAAATTTTAATAAAGATAAAAAGCCTAAAATATACTCTAACTCTTAAAAAAAACATGATTTTAAAAGACAAAAGGAAGGAGGCCCTCTTTGTGGCTGGAATGCTGGTTCTGAGCAGAGGCAGGGAGACGCGGCAGGGTGCTTGCTTTCCAGCTAGGTCAGCTCTCATGAGGCTCAACATGCAAGGAGGTGGGACTGGCTTCTTTGGTTGTAACATCAGCAGGGGGTAGACAGCTGCCCAGAAGCATGGCGGGAAGCAGATGTGGTGAGGTGATGCACTATCCTGCTTGTGAAGATGTGGAAGTCTAAGATCGTGCTGACTACCTGAAAGCCTGACACGGCATTTCTAGAGTCATGGACTGAAGGGACTTACATACTGTGCAGCCAGCCCAGGCGCCCGTCCCTGCTGTGCTGAGACTTGTGCGGAGTCCTTGCTGCTTTGTGGCTGTGTGCCTCAGCTTTCCAAGTAGGGGGCTGGATCGCTTTTTTCCATGAACATTCAGGGGTCTTTGATGCCTTTGTGACTTGTCATTCAGGGGATGGCTTCCACTGTTTAAGGCTGAGATGATCTCATAGGACAGGGTTCAACAAATATGGCCCATGGGCCAACTTGGCCATTGCCTGTTGTAAGTAGGTTTTTATTGGAAGACAGCCATTCAATTACATGCCTGTGGCTGTGTCTGTGCTGCTGTGGCCACAGGGACCTCTGGTCTGCAAAGCTGAAAATATTTACTGTCTGACCCTTTACAGAGAAAGGCTGCCAGCCCCACTATAGATGAAAAGTGTCTGAACTCCACCTTATGTTAACATTGCCTCTGCTGGTCCGTACGATGGCTCATCACCTTGCACGAGCGTCAGACACACGCTGGAGGAGCAGAGCAGGGTGGCTGCGTCTCTACCTCAGCCTTCCTTCCAGCACCGCCTGGTTTCTGCTTTTTGGCCCCTGCCCCGTCTGTTTTGGAAGCAGTCCATCATGGTTCCTTCTCAATTTGTTAGGCCTCAAAGGGAGAATTCTTTCTCTGGCTTTGGAGTCAAAGAACAGGTTTCTGAGTACTGCAGAGTGTGGCTGACAACCTCCCTGATCCTGGGGAACGGTGGCTGCCATCTGATCCGCAGAGGCGTGGACCACACCTTCAGGAACGGCAGCCCGGGTGAGAGCACAGGCCGCTGAAATGCTTCGCAGGACTCATAGATGGCTGGTCCCGGAGCCGGGTCTCAGGGCGGGCTGGTGCGCACAGGCCTGGCCATCTTCTTCCAGAGGCCTGAGGAGGATGGTCACAGAGGGGACTGACTCCAGCTAGGACATTTTCTCTCAGGGTATCCTATCTCATCCAGTTTTGAGACCTCATCTTCCTGGGTTTTAGAAACTTTTGAGGTTGGTGGGGTGTAACAAGAACGTCTTAAATCCTCTGAAGAAAAAACAAAGTGAAGCATGAGAATGACAGGCATTCCCTCTCCTCGTTAAACCAGCTGCTTCCTGTTTCTCTTAGTGGTCCTTACGTTCTTACGGCACCGGGGTCTAACGAGGCAGTGCACATGGGGAGGGGCGGCCTCCACTGACCACATTCCCATCTTTAGGAACGTGTGGGCTCAGCATTACAACTTTTAAATGTGAAATCAGGCTATTCCTCCTCCCTGCCTTCCTCCTTCCAGTAACGACTGTGGGTCTGTTCTCTAAGGGTATGGCTGTGTTAGGTTGCTCTGGGTTGAAATAAATTCTCGTGTTGTTCTTGGGTAGGTGTCTGGGCGAGTGTATTTGTTTCCTGCTTTTTTGTGTGTTTACTTCATTGTTTCAAGACCAGGTGTTCTATAAGCCAGTTTGATTGGGGGCTTCTGATTTGTTTTTATAGATGTTGATGTGCTAGGAAAACTTAAAATGATATATTGGCTGGGCGCGGTGGCTCACACCTGTAATCCCAGCACTTTGAGAGGACGAGGTGGGTGGATCACCTGAGGTCAGGAGTTTGAGACCAGCCTGCCCAACATGGTGAAACGCCATCTTTATTAGAAAATAAATAAAATGATACATTAATATTTCAGGTGACTTACCACAATATAAACATCTCAAACCCAAATTATGTTGGATTCATAATCCTAGCGCAGTCAGGCACTGCATGATGAAGGACCGTGGGCATGACTGTTGTCTCATGAGATTACAGTGGAGCTGAGGTCGGCCGTGACTTTTTCTTTTTTTTTTTTTGAGACAGAGAGTCTCTCTCAGTTGCCCAGGCTGTAGCGTAGTGGTGCAATCTCAGCTCACTGCAACCTCTGCCTTCTGGGCTCAAACGATTCTCCTGCCTCAGCCTCTTGAGTAGCTGGGATGACAGGCGCGTGCCACCACACCTGGCTAATTTTTGTATTTTTAGTACAGAAGATGGGGTTTTGCTATGTTGGCCATGCTGGTCTCCAACTCCTGACCTCAAGTGCTCTGCTGGCCCCGGCCCCCCAAAGTGCTGGAAGAATTCTCTGTGTGTTTGTGCTGATGCCCGGTGTATGAAAGTCCAGCGCATACAATTACCTACAGTTTATAACACTTGATCGTGACCATTTGTGATATTACTGGTTTATGTATTTACTGTTCTCTTCGTCATTATTTTAGAGTGTACTCCTTCTACTTATAAAACAAACTTAACTGTAAAATGGCCTCGGGCAGGTCCTTTTTAGGAGGCGACAGCTTCGTGTGTGTTACTGGGACAAGATGTGGAAGTAGAAGAAAGTGAAACGGATGACCCTGATCCTGTGTAGACCTAGGCTAATATGTGTGCTTGTGTCTCAGTTTTTAACAAAAGTTAAAAACAACAGTTTTAAAAACAGAAAAAAGGACTGAGAATAAGGATAGAAAGAGCTGGGCATGCTGGCTCCTGCCTGTAATCCAGCACTTTGGGCGGCTGAAGTGGGTGTTAACATGAGGTCAGGAGATGGAGACCATCCTGGCTAACACCAAAAACCCCGTCTCTACTAAAAATACAAAAAATTAGCCAGGCGTGGTGGTACATGCCTGTAGTCCCAGCTACTTGGAGGCTGAGGCAGGAGAACTGCTTGAACCCAGGAGGTGGGGGTTGCAGTGAGCCTGGGTGACAAGAGCAAGACTCTGTCTCAAAAAAAAAAAAAAAAAGGATGGAAAGAAAACAGTCTTGAGCATCTGTACGGTGTGTTTGTATAATAAGTAAAAAAATATTAAAAATTTATAAAGTAAAATAGTTAGAGTAAGCTAAGGTTAACTGACTATTGAAGAACTAATGCATTGCTGTGCAACTTCCAGTCCTGCACGCTCGTTATGTTAGTGCCCTGCACAGGTGTACCCTTTCTTATCTCTTACACCATATTTTTACTGTAGTTTTCTATGTTTGGATGTGTTTTAGGTACACACAGCGCTGTGTTACAGCTGCCTACAGTATTCAGTGACACGCTGTGGTGCGGCCCAGGCGTGTGGGACGCCGTGCCCTCTCAGTGTGTTCTAAGTACGTGCTAATCGCCTCACAAAGCGTTTCTCAGAGTGCATCTCCACTGCTAAGCGACACTCAACTGCGGTAAATTGCTTACAAGCCTGGAGTGTGTTTAGTGTGCGTGTCTTTGGAGGGGGAGGTGGGAGGGGCGGTAGATGTTGCCAGCTGCTGTCTTCTGGAGACTTTCCACATCGGAATGGCAGACGCAGCAGTTGTGGCCAACGCAGAGCCCGAGTTGCTGTCATTGGCAAAGCTCTGGCCTCGGCCCTTCCCCTCAGGTACGGTGGACACTCTTCCTTTGGTGTGAACCTATACCTGAAAAGCTCTTTTGCTTGTCTTTATTTTTTTTTAGCATATAACAAAACATAGACCTGTTCGAAGTGGCTTGTTACCCAAGGGTGCCTCACCTCATCTGTACCACCAGGAAGAGGAACTGTGAAGGCTCATTTAAGGGGCAGGAGTAGTAAAGCTGTCCTAGTCTAGCCAGAAATCCATCCTTCATGCACAGTGACATGTGGACAAGAAATTATGGTCAGTATGAAACTGATTACAGGTTGTAGATGGGTTTTATGGTACATCCCAGTCTTTTGCAAACTGTTGTGAAGATTACCAGTGCTGTTTAAGATTCAGCAGTTAGGGCGGTGGGGGCAGGATGGGGGTCTGGTTGCTAAAAGAGTTTGGGAAATGCTACCTTAAACAAATGGAGAGTTCGAAAGTTTTTTCATTTCAGGATTTGTGAATGTCTGTGAGTCCACTGTCCGTTACGAGTCTCCTAGTGAGAGACAGTCTCTGAGACTTCCTGAGTATTAAGTGATCAAGGCCCCTGCCGTATGTTTAGTTCTGATAGAAGGCCGTTCGCAGGATCTGGGCAGCACTCCCTTAGATCTCTCCTGGCACCTCCGGAACTCCTCAGCAGCCCAGGTGCCAGGTGGTCTTCCAGCCTCCCTAAGTGCCCGCCCTCCTGCCTCTTCCTCCCACTGCAGCTGATCTAGTGGGGTTTGCCCCTACCCACAGAGAGCCACATTTCCGCCTGAAGAGGTACTTGTCAGTGGCTAGGCCAGGTTCACGTCTGTTTCCCCTTGGGGAATTCTGAAACCTTCCTGGCCTGGGAGTCTGCAACACAGCAGCACATGGCTGAGCTTCCTGTAGCAGTGCTCACTAAGTAGGCAGCAGCACCCCGAGGGCCCAGGGTGCTTACTAAGTAGGCAGCGGCACCCCGAGGGCCCAGGGTGCTTACTAAGTAGGCCGCAGCACCCCGAGGGCCCAGGGTGCTTACTAAGTAGGCAGGGGCACCCCGAGAGCCCAGGGTGCTTACTAAGTAGGCAGGCGGCACCCCGAGGGCCCAGGGTGCTTACTGAGTAGGCAGCGGCACCCCGAGGGCCCAGGGTGCTTACTGAGTAGGCCGCGGCACCCCGAGGGCC